GGCCGACTGGCGGCCATTTTGTTAAAGAATTCAGGTCTGGATCCGTATCCAAGACATATCTGGATTGATCAAGTTCAAACTTCACACACACATGGTACATCATGTCACAAATAGATATGTGCATTTGTTTCATGATCTGCTTAACAATAGCGGAATGATGGCTATTTTAAGGCCGAAAATGCATCAAAATCACATATTTTCACAATTCCAGAACCGGATCTCAGTCATGCATGGATGGATTTTGTTCAGATTTAGCACAATGTGTTGTACATATGCAGGTGCATTTCGGTCATGATCTGCTTTGAATGTATATGTCACTCAAATATGAACGGAACGGGGACGTGTCATTGACAATGACTTGTTTGACTGTAAAGTTAAAGTGACTTTCCCGATCCCGTACCTCAAGGGGACGAGATAGAGAGACGAGACGAGTTTTCCCCCTGGCAAGTGTGGAGAACCCTGTGGAGAAGAATTTACCCCTGATATATGTATAACCATGGAGCTCCCTTTCTAGCTCCATGGTATAACACAGATAACTCACCGATAAGCCAAACTTAGTAGTTATTTTTAAACATCAGAAACTCTGAGTCAAAGTAGACAAATTAATAAATACCTATGTTTATTTCGTGGCAACGTGAGTTTCATACTAAATTTTCAACTCTTCTTGCACTACTGGCAGACGAACGTAAGCAGGACAGTGATGTTTCATCGCCTGATTCATGTCTGAATCTTACCATCTTATATTTTGATTTTAAGTTGAACATTTGGGAATAAATGGAAAGTTTACTATTAAATGTGTATCTATTCGAACACCAATTAGAATTATCATTGTTTATCAACATGGCGGCCAATAAATAATTTTTACGTCCATAATTTTATTCTATGAAATAGATTTCATCACACACTCAGATAAAAATTTGTTTTCCATAATTTTTCACCTAATATGCTGTTTTTAGGCAAAATGTGTACCGTTATAACAATATCATGAGTAAGCTGAGATACACTCGTTCAGCTTTCAAAAAATGTGACGACATGACATTAAATACTATGATCTTGATTCCAAGATTTCTTTTAATAATAATGTTGTTCGATACTCCATACTGTAGACCAAATCGGATTATGATTTGTCATAAACTAAAACTCTGCGTATACTGTTTTGCGAAATTTGGGGTGAACGCGAAACCAGAGGCACCTCCATTTCGCGATATTTTTAAAAAGAAATAAATCGCCCAGACTGTGTCCGTCTAGCAAGTGCAGTGAGTGTTATTGTATGTAACACGGCATGCAGTGCACATGTGTTCTAGAGTAGTGCATTGCTTCGTCGAACGAATACTTAGATGTGAGCTACAAGAACAACGTTTTCAGTTCATCATAAATCATGTATAATGTATTTATCAATGTGCAGCAATACTAAAATTGTCACCCTGTGTCACTGTAAGACGGATGAGATCGTGGCCACCTTGCCGCATTCTGCTTGTTCGGTTGTTTCAATGCGATGTGCTTTGTAAGGCCCGTCGCATGGGGGCGCCAGACACAATAATTCCCTTTTATGCATATCAAAGACGCCGTAACCTTGGTGCCGAACAACGCAGCTAAGTTATGTTCTAGTGTCAGTGAAGTTTTTTGAGTATCGCCGAGACTTAAATGAACGGGAACCGATATCGTGGTCGAGCCACCGCTGAATATTCGAGACTGTTCGGTCATTCAACGTAGAAATGGTAGACTAATCATTGCTGTTTAGTCTTGGATTGTTTCAGGTTGTTCATTGTAACGTAACTCACTGTGGTTCTTGTTACGGAAACACAATCTTCACAACGTGTAAAACGTGAATTGAAGTGAACGCACGGAGACGACAAAGGTATATCTTCTTTGAGACACCAATACCCATTGCAAATGACACTGAACTGATAACTATAATACTGGAGTGCATTACGACAAAGTACCTACCAAGTGAACCATTTTGACGACTTTTATTGCTTTCTATTGTACTGGGACGAACAAACAACATGGCGGACTACAACAATACCACGTTTGGCAACTTTACTGGGAATTCAACCAACAATACAGACGAAGTGACTACGTTAGAACCGAGAGCTCCGAGTATTGCCGAGGCTATTTTAGCCGCCCTGATTGTTCTAATAATATGCTCGACTCTGGTTAACAATTTTTTCGTGTTGTTCGTTTTCGGAAAAGTGCCTCGTCTCCGCACGCCGGGGCCCATGTACTTCCTTGTATTGCTAGCGATAACTCAGTTCTTTGGCGTGATTTTCTCTCTCGTCCCGTCTCTCGTCTCGGTCATCATGGGCGGTGAGTGGATCATGGGGAATGTCTTCGATGATGTATCGGCCTACATGGCAAATCTATGCTACCACCTAACCGTTCACACCTTGGGAATTATCTGCTTTGAGCGCTATCTGAGAATATGCAGACCTCTAAAGCACGAAGAAATCTTTTCTGAGACGGTGACAGTTATTATTTTGTTCGGGATCATTTTCTTCGACTGTGTGCTGGCTATTTTCCACTCATAGGATGGGG